AGAGTCTCGTGGTCTACAGAGTCAAATGCTGCTTTTAAGTCAAGAAAGACCACCATCGTCGTACGCCGATAGGTATGCCTGTGTTCTAGAACCTGACGAATGGTGAACATGTGATCGATGCAGCCACGACCAGGTCTAAAGCCAGCTTGGTTCTCTCGTGTTTGTAGTTCACGAGTCTTAGTTAGGCGTCTGATAATTATCGAGGCCAGTATTTTAGATACTATGTTTGTTAAACTAATCCCTCTGTGGTTGTCACAGGATGATTTTGACCCTTTCTTACATATTGGGACGATAAGTGATTGCGACCAGTCAGGTGGGATAAAGTCTAATTCCCAGATCTTAGCTAAAATATTAGTCAACCTAATGGCTAAAATTGGACCACCATCCTTAAAGACCTCTGGAGCCAATCCATCTGGACCAGCTGCCCTTCCTCGTTTCAGATTAACTATAGCCTTTTGAACTTCAGCAAGACTTGGGGGACCTACTTCAATGTTCCATTCACATTGTCTGGGAATGGAGGGTAGTTGTAGAGAAGCTGAAGGCCAGCTGAACTGTTCTCTAAAATATTCCGCCCATCGTTATAAACGTCTGGACTGGGAGCAGATGAGAGTATCATCTTTTTCCGAAATAATCTCACTTACACTTGACTTATTAATTCCAGTTTCTTTTATTAGTCTGTAAAGCTGTCTTGTGTTCCCTATAGTCGCCGCCTTTTCCATCTCTTTTGCTTTCGTTACCCACCACTGCTCACGGTCGTTCCTTAGACTTTTTCTTAACCTAGATTTGATTTGTTTACGCTCTTCATCATGTTCAGAACCTGATGGGACGAGTTTGCCAGAATCCATCAGTGTGACAGACCTTGAAGAAATCCACTGGTTCCTTGCAACTCTGTGGTTTAAGTCACTAATAGATGTCACTGCTGTTTCCACAGTTGATTGTAAGCCCTTCCAAGCAACATCTGGGTCAGCCTCGTCTTCACATCTACCTAAGTGTGACCTCAGTTGTTCCTGGAACCTACTTTTGGTTTTCTTGTTATTCAACTCAGTTCTAACGGGTCTTTTTAATGTGGCTTTTTTGCGTCCGGTGAGGCGCAAGCAGATGCGTGCCCATATTAGGGCATGGTCGGAGTCCAAGCAGGTACTCCAGAATGAGCGACAATCTTCTACCGCCCCCTCTCCAACGATGACTGATGGCAATATGATCTATTTGAGTCCATCGTTGGTTTGGTGTAGGGGGTCGCCATGTTAGACGATGACTCTCCTTATGCTTAAAATTTGTATTTGCTAAAAATAAACGATTGTCTGAGCATAGCTGCAGCAGACGATCACCATTATCTGTTCGCTGTGTCGGAATACTAAAATATCCACCTAAATGCCTTTCTGTTTGGTTTAAGCTACCTATCTGAGCATTAAAGTCACCTGCTACGAGTACTATGTCTGAGCGTTTAGCTTTCTGAAGAAGTTCGGACAGCTTTCTGTAAAATTCATCTTTCACTTCATCTGAGCTGCAGTCAGTGGGAGCGTAGGCAGAAACGACGAAAAGGCAACGACGTGTGTCCCTATCCTTCCGAGTTCTCACGTAGCCGTTTAGCCGAACAGCACATAGACGACTGTTGACGGGGATCCACTCTAGCAGTGCTTGTTCCGCCCTCATGCTTAGTGCTATGCCTACACCTGCCAGTCCACGAGAACTTGCCATCGGGTCACCAGACACACGAAGGATGTATCTCGTTGGCTCTCCGTTTTGCCGAGGTGAGGTCAAGTGAATAACCACACTGGAATCCTGTATGCGTGTTTCGGAGACACATCACACGTCAATGGTAAGAGACTCTAGGGTTTTAGCCAAGGAAGCTTGCTGACCGATTTGACATAGGGTGCGTACGTTGAAGGCTCCAATGTGTAGTTTGGAGCGAGGTTTCAGTAGACCTGGGACAGTGTTTTGCGCACTAGAATCGTTGGCTATGGTGACACTTGAGGTGGAAGCCGAGAGAGGAAATTTAAAGTTGAAAGTCGATGTAGGAGGAATAATAGGAATTGAAGAGGGAGGTTGATTATGAATACAGTGGTCTTGAGTGCTGTTAGAGGTATGAGGGCGGTTATCACTTCCCGGTTGCCCACACCGAGGAAGGGTTCTTCTGGAGGTGCCTGAAAAGGAAATTGGATTAGAGGTGGTCTGAGTGACCTGAGAGCGTGACCGCAGTGCCCAAGGGACAACTGCTTGAGGTTGGTCACACACGACCTTTATGTGAGTAGTTCTCGTGTTAGCTCTGTATTTGTTGAAACCTTACCGCCTGAGACGAATATCCGTGGGATAAGGCGAGGTGTGCATTTTTAGGGTCGACCTTTCCTAACCCCACCCCTCCTTGTGAGAAGGCAGCATCGCTGTCATGCTGGTTGTCTGAAAGAAACATTTTACTGCTGTCACACCTCTGTACAGTCAGCAGTACGACTTCGCCTTCGGACCTTGTGTTTGTTGCTTTTAGTCTTACCGCTCTTCAACCGACCTGTCTGACATGGTAGGACCTTGAGGAACGGTTGTTCCAGCCAGTATAGCTCGGTCGCTTCATCACGATAGGCAAGCCCGACCACCACGTCAAGGTAGTAACAACGGTCGGGGGGCACAGAGATGATAATTCAATTGGTGTCACCATCTTGAAACACCGACTTCGGTGGCTTGGACATGTTCTCCGAATGTCGTCCCGGAGAATTCCACGTCGTGCATTATTTGCCGACTCTGGGACTGGTTGGAAGAAGCTGAGAGTTGGTCAGTGTATGACATGGTGTTGTGGTATGAAAGAAAGCTGCAAAGGACTGGCTTCTGTCGGTCGTTCACGACTCCCTGGTTGGGGTCTGAGAGATGGTGCAACACAGTGGCTAGAGACGTTATCAGATATGGCTCAGAATAGAAGCCAGTGGCGATCCTGCTGTAACCTTCTTTTACTTTCTTCATAAAAAGTGGTTGTGTCTCCCTTACCTGAAAGATTTCTTCCGATTGTAACTTTGCGTTCCCTCGTTACTACCACACTACCTTACACCAATCTCTTCGTTATTGTTCTCCTTTTCTTTTGCGCTCCTTAGTTGTTTTTTTCGAATTCTCATTGTTTTGTGTGGCGCATATATATTGGCGCTCTCTTGTACCAATATTCATGTGTTCAAATAAATAAATAAATAAACATCTACATATCTGGCCACATATTTATTCCAATTAATTACTGAATCATTGTGTCCTTCCACATAATTCTACATACTTAGCTGACAGCAGCTCGTTCATTTCCACATCTGTTTGGATGGTAATTATTAAATCATTCATTCTACCCTCTCTGTGTGTTTCTTCCTGGTTATTGGAGTTGTGCGTTGGAAAGGAAGTATTTTAACTACTTCATAATAAGGACTGTACGATCAGTTTGTATATGAAGCACTAAGATTAACGAGCAGCTATCCGTTACAAAATACACAAATAAATTTAATTGAAATTTTTAAGTATGTATAAGCGTATCATCGTAAGGATGTGAGACTAAATAAAAATATTGCAAATATATATCTTCGATAGTAGAGCATTCTACAACAACGATAGTAACAAAAGATCAAAGAGCTGTTCATAAGTACTTACGTAATGAGGAAACACTAATAATTAGTAAACATGAAATGAGTAAAGCTCAGTTATCCATTAACGTAAGTAACCCATGGTGTCATTAAAAAGACAATTCAACGAAGAAAGTTTTCTTTTCTACAATATCATTTACTCAAACTGTACAATTGTATTTATAGTTAATTAGCGAATAAAGTAGTTTATTAAAGAGTAAAACGATTACCTAATCCTGGTTGTCAAAGTTTCATGACGATCAAGAATTTAGATAAAGACGAAAAGTAATTATCCACTTGACGAGTATGAAAAAGATGTAAAATAAATTAAAAGTATGAAGGCGATAAAAATTATTAATTTAAAAAACTAAAAACATTAAAAAGATGTATTAATAAGCAATTTTCCGTTTATAAAAACTTAGGTGTCCATACCATGTAAAAATGATGGTTCTGAATATCAACAACATTCTGAATAATAATAATCAAAACGTAATGTACATTGAACAAGTCATTAGCTATTTATACTCAGTAGCACAGTGGATAGTGCGTTGGCGTTTGAAGCAAAAGGCAATAGGTTCGAGTCTCAGCGTGAACACCATCAGTATGATATAGATATATCCAGCTGACGAAACGAAAGTAGAACAAAACGTGCTTCCTGACTTCTACTGTTAATTAGGATCCATCCATTCTATAAGACGACTTTTATACCATGAATTAAGAATGGTTGTCTGAAATTTCTGTGAACTAAAAGTTATTTTAATCCATATTTTCTTTTATTACGTTGTGGTTATGCATAGAATTTCAAGCAAGGAGTGTAAATAAACTGTCTAGTATTTTTATGGTATATCTAACTTAAAATTTATAATATACATTTTACGAATGTTTAGTTTCTATTTTTACTGACGTGTATTATCAATTAGTGTAAGGTAAAAAAAATCATAATAATGTGCTTTAAACAATTTGTCTATTCATTAAGTCTATAGGGGGGCATATACAAAGGTGGAAATTACTGGAGTTTAAATGATTTAAAATCGTATCGTGAAGAAGTAATCACATCACCGACTATCCATTTATTGAAATAATAAAAATGAGTGTTTTGTTGATTGTTTCTAACTATCCGTTAGCTGATACGGTATATTTCAAGATTAACCCGTTTCGATTGGTAACCGTAAACGACTGATGTAGTCTATCTTTTTCCAAGTTTAGCACGTTTTATTACTTCATGTTTACCTGTAATATATTTTTGTTTATTTTTAGTAATTTTATTTCCTTGGTAGATTCCTCTGTGTACTGTAAAAATATGCATCAATTTACTACGTATATTAGGTTCTATTTTCTGCTTACCAGTTTTTGTTACGAAATTTAATATTGCTTAAATATGAAGTATAATATTCTGTTTTTAATGTTTATTTTTATCAGGTTTCTTGGATTAGAAATCGATTTTTACGACGTCCTGTAGAAGGTAGCATTCCTGTTTATCGTATAGATGTGACAGATTTTTTAAACTCTGAATCTCCAGATATTTGGCATAAGACAATTATTGCACCAACTGTACGCTTAGTCTACAATGAATTAATAAAAATGAATGATTTACTCTTTGAAAACTTGAAAAACAATGATTATCTAAATAGTTTACTTGATATTTGTCCTGAAGATTCTTGTCTTAAAGCAGAATCATTACTTTTGCCTAAATCTTTTAATGAATCAAACAATAATAACAATTCTCCATTCATTTGTTCAATATGTTCAAATAGGATATTTACACAAATCGATGGTTGGGAAGCTCATTTAAAAAGTAGATCCCATCAGAAACGTGCAGCAAAATATAAGAAAAGATTACTTATCGAGAAAGCAATGAAAAATTTATCATCATAATATTTTGTTAAATAGATAATGTTTTGTATAAAAGTTATTATTTTTTTCTCAATAAAATATATTACATTAATATTTGTACTGAATATTTAAATGGTTATACAGTTTGTGGAATTTCTCTTATATTATTATAATGGTTTGTGAATCCAAAATGATAGTATAGTTGACCTTCAGAATTATGATGATCAGTTAATTAGTAAATAATATAACTCAGTAAATACTTCAAATTTCAACCGTTTGATTTGAATTCCATATAAAACTGCTACAGCACTTGCATCATGAATTAAATTCACTTATGAGAATTTGTTTTATTGTCTTACTTACACCTTTGACTGTCAGGGAATCATAACTGTTTGTCAATTGAAATTTCTTAAATTACAGTGAATATTTACTGTATCGTATTTATTGAATGAAAACTATTTGTTGATATAGTTTGTTGTAGTGATGTATTTCTCATTTTTACTTTTTGGGAAAAATGTTTTAACTTAGATTTGCTAATAGGTTTTTGGATTTTAAAGTGCTCTAGTTCGACGTTTATGTTGAAATAATACATAAATTAATAAATAGTCGAAAGAGTCAAGGGTTTCCTATCGACTCGTATTAACCATCTAACATCAAAACATAGTGCACATTATGTCGAGTCATTTAGACTAGTCGGTCACATTGTAACTTAGTCGATAGGATTCGGTCAGCACAATAGAACCAGACCAATGTAACATTGGTCACTGCTCATTGATCGATCAGTTGTGAATGTGTTCAGTGTAATTACAACCCAGTATATCACGTAGGGTACGTTTTGTGGTTTGATTATTCATTTGACTCTCATAATAGACCTAACCCTGTGGATCTAACTCATATTGTACGAGGGATTTATTTCACAACTTATTCAACCACCTATTTAGGGTTCAATTGCATAGAGCATCAAACAAAGCTCACTAGCATGAATCGCTACACTTCTTGACAGCGTAAAGACAGAAACTCAAGAAAATCAGCGAAATGTTAAAATGGACAAAATGAAAATATACGTACATAGACATATATAGCATAAAGTTGCTCAATGTTTGGAAAAGGAGTATGTTGGGTGCATCTGCACTAATACCCTCCAATTTCAACTTCTATACGATCTCATGTCTCAAGTAGAAATCTGCATTTTGACCACAGCTCAAACCTGCATCTACAGACATCGTAGATTCGCCTGTTCAAGCTACTCTTTAGAACTTTTTCAGATCACTTTAATCAACGTTATACGTCAGAGTTTTAGTTTTTTAGGTATGAGTAAACTACGACAAATCACATAAATGTTTAGGGGCGCACTTAATACGCCAAAAGTGCTTGTTATTAGCTATGCTAAACAACTTATTTTCAATTAGTATTAAGATATACTATAGCTTGGAATCCCTAACTACCAAAATGCGTTGCTGTAAGTGTTAAAGCAGTCGATCATCAACCACTAAGCTATAGGTTCAAACCCCATCTGCCTATTTCTGACTGGGCAGCTAAACGAGTATTACATTAGCTCTCACAAATAAAGAGTACGTCAAGGCTGGGCTCAAGGACCAGTTACTGTTTTGCATAATAGGATTAGTAGCTATATGTGGAGTTGCACTGATATTTTATTATTACTTCAGTATCGGGAATTAAATTATCAATTGCCACAAAAGTTTCCATTATCCTTTTATTCACAACGAATCGCTTCAGAAGTTCTTCGCGATAGCTTGTGCCTAATCGGAGGTTTTCGTTCTTCGATTACCGTTTTGACGAACATGTTTGATTTACCTTGATACTATGACACGTTTTAAATGTTCTGTAGTATAGAGGAATTCACGATTTTAAGTGAGAAATCACACCATATAGAGAATCATGTGTATGATGTTTACATCCAATTTGTAAGGGTTTGGATTTGCTCGTTGTTGATATTAAGGACTGCGAATGATCACCTTTAGAGTATGTGGACCCTGATAAGGTTTCCCTGATATTACCACTAATTTACGAGGATTTCCGAACGAAGTTCTGATGGTGGCTAGCGACGGGATCCAGGACGTGTTTCTTCGTATCTGAGACTCGTCAGCTGGATACACCGGCTTTTCACTGTTGACGTCCACGTAAATAATCGAGCCTGATGCATTTCGCTTCAAACACAAACGCGTCATCCACCGAGCTATTGAACTCAGATAGCCACTGGCTTGATTAATTGGATGTACTTTGTTCGCATGGGTTTGGATTTGTACGTTGTTGATGAAATGTACATCCTGGATTTCACTACCATCTATTACAAAAACTTAGCTCACTTGTTCATCGATATCATGAAAGCAAATCAAAACAAAAGTGGACATTCTTTAGTCACTGCTCAAGAATAAATACTGACGTTTTTTTATTATTATGTGGGTAAATAAACTAATTAAGCATGTACTTGATCTTGGGCCTTATTTAGATGTAAGAGCTAATGATACTACGTGATCGCCCAACAAAGTCATGCAGTTGTTTCGTTCCAAAGCATGCGGTATCGATTGCTTCTTATTATATCATACCTAGATACTACACTTTAATACATATGGTTGTAAGCAGCTGATGAGAAACCACAAAATATCATGAATTCATATTGTTCCGCCTCATTTATTGTTCTGGCTTCCTTCAATTTCGTAAAGGAAACCAATTGTATGAAATTCTCGTAGATGACCAGTCAAGTATCTGTGATGATTTGTTTACTAGTCTAATCTTAGCCCGTATCTGTGGTTAGAAGCATTTTAGTGACAATAGTTTCATATTATAAAATTCTCATCGATAGTTAATGGTCTTATAGTCATCAATAAAACTTCCTCAAATTTTATTTCCATTTTACTCTCTTAGTACTATTATACAATGAAATGAATAGTCATTTAAATCAAGCAGTTTAGACTACATTGTAGGTGAATTCGTTACTGCACAATTTCCCATTATTTATTTTTAAAAAAAATTATTTCTAATGATACCCTGCTAAATTCCAAGAACATAATTGTTAGTTAATTATTCCGTTTCAAAATATGAGTTTTACTTGTATTAACAACTAGGTGATAAGTGTTCTACAGTGTTCTTTTTATTTTTAATTTTTAGCCTTCTCGTCAAGTCTACTTTTTCTAGTGTTAAATAATTTAACCAAAAGATTGGGTCAATATTGTTATTTGTGCAAGAATATTAATATAAATGTCTATATTTAAAAGGTATATCACTAAAACTGTAGTGGCTATTGTAAAGAAGTATACAAAATTAGTGACATATTTGGAAAACAAATGGGAAGGTAAACATGCTTCATCATTTCATAATTATAAATTATTTAAAAATGGTAAGTTTTAGATAAATTTCTCTTGTTTGTATTAAAATAATTTATGGTTTTAATTTCTAGTTGATGATAATTCTACTGGCTATTTGATAAGTTTAATCTATTAGCTGAATCTATTGTGACAATTTTGTTGATTTTTATATTTTTTAAACGACACAAAACCTTCAACAAAGCCTATACTGACTCTGAAAACTGGGGAAAAGATAACAATGATCAGCCAATCCATGTATAATAGTTAATATTTGTCTTTACATTAGGATATCTTTGTGTATTCTTTTTCATTACATGGTGATACAGTTAGTCAAGGAAGAAATACGTTTATTTCGTTTATTAACTTATTTACCAGATTAATCTATCTAGTTGTCAGTGTTATTATTCTGATTGAATATTGTACGTAATAGGTATTACTTTTAGTAAAAAAGTACCTACGATTAATTCATTTGAAATACTGTAGTAGATGTGAAGTTATTGTCTGTAAGTTTTGTACGTGTCTACCTATATATGTAAATAAGACACATTTAGATTATCAGAATGGGTTTTGTGGAGATTTTTTAGAAATTTCACTGGTTGAAATCATGAGTCAATTGAAGCTAGACCACCATGGAAAACCTGGAAGCACTGGACGACCGTTTCGTCCTAACATGGGACTCCTCAGCAGTGCGCATCCACGATCCCGCCCCCCGCGAGACTCGAACCCAGGACCTAGGACGAAACGGCCGCCGTGATTCCAGGTTTTCCATGGTGATCTAGCTTCAGTTGACTCATGATTTCAACCAGTAGCATTTAGATTATTAAATAAAAGCACTAAATAGGTTAGTTTAACATAAAGAGCATTAAAAACAATTCTTTATCAACATTTACCACTGTTAGTTTCACTTCAATTGTGTTTACTCTATTTTGTATCAAACTGTAAATAAGCTTATTGTATGATACTCAATCAAGCAGTAAGTTCAGAGATTTATTGATATACGTAATTTTATTTCAACGTAAGATAGTTAAAGTTAAGCTAGAGGAAAATTTTAATGAAGGTTTATCTCAAATGGTTTGGTTGCCTTCCTTTAGATTTGCATATATGCGCAGCAGCAATGACCTCAATCAACTTTGATGATAGAAATATGATTTAATCATGATTATTTCCTATATATTCTAGATAAAATATGGGGGGGGGGGGTAAATTTGCTTAAAAATATTGTAGATTTTATTGAAAATATTTATCAATTAATCTTGTATATTTGAATATGTTTACAGGTGTCCACTCGACGTTGATAGATTTGGGTGACCTCAGTCAGTTATGGATAGATATTACTTGTCGTTCTCAGTCAATTATAGAAATCCTACCGACTCTTAGTAGACATCAGGTGTATGTCCTACGTCAGGTATAATTTGTTTTATTTTCTAGCTTCATTCTATACAATTGGCTTAATAATGTTCACTCTTCGTAGAGCTTAGTGAATTATGTAGGTTTTCTTACAATTGTATGGTAGCTTCAGTGAAATTCAGGTTACACTTTTCTTTCTATTAATAAAAATTTGTGGCTATATAGCAGTAACGAGGCAATCCGTCAAGTACGCATATATAAATATAGTAACTGAGTCATTGCAGTCCTTAACGTCAACAACGGGTAAATACAAAGTTTTACGAATAAAATCCTGTGTTTTTTGCTTAATATATTCCTTAAATCTACAGGTTTTATTTTATTGTAACTATGACAAACTGGACATTACTTTGAGTCTTTCTTGTTTTTACCCTTGTAGTGGTGAAAATAGAGGTTATCATTTTCAATTGTAATCGATCAAGTAACATTTTAATTAGTATCAGAATGTATGTAGAATGAATCTATTTCGCTCCTTTTGTTACAGGTGCCTAAAGATTTGGTGAAGATTTTGCCTGTTATGCTTCTTGCTCCATTACCAGGAACAATACTAATTTTACCAATCTTGTAAGTAATAACTATAAAAATACAACAATATTATAGTGACTTAAAGTGATTCCAGATTTTAGAATAATAATTGAGATTATATTCATGATAAAGAATTATTTACTGTTATTTATACTATTCTTTGATTCGGCTCTACTTTTCTTATCGTTACATATATATATATATATATATATATATATATATATATATATATATATATATATATATATATATATATATATATATATATATATGTTTTAATGTAAACATTCACTTGATTATTCATGGAAAATGCAAGATCATAGCTCACTATGAATCAATCTCAATGGGGAAAGAAATTAAACGTTCATGATATCAGGTAGAATAACAATTTAATAATTGATTAACTGTAATTTATTGGCGGCAAAATATATCATGAATTACATTAAACTTTACAATTGACATAAAATCATATTACCATAAATTACTTGTTTAATGAATAAAAACTAATTATACCAAGAATAACTGTATAAGTTCACTTGGTGGTGTTTTACTTGTATCTTCCCATTGTTATTAAAGACTGCAATTGACTAGTCTCATGTTAGCATATGTGGATTGCCTCGATATAGCCTTAAGTCACAAGCTCTCTAAGCAAAGATGGATAGTAGCTAGCAGTGAAGTTCAGGACCCGCGTTTCGTCCTATTTGGGACTCATCAGCTGGATGTACCTGCATCCTAAAGTTGATATTCACTCCGGCACTCGAACCCGGTACCGTTCACTTCAAACGCCATCGCGTTATCCACTAAGCTACTGAGTTCTGGTAGCCACCTGCTTCTGCACTGGGGTGAATTTTAAATTTACTCGGTGTTGTTTTACTTGTATCTTCCCATTGCTATTTAGGACTGCAATTGACCAGTCTCATGTTGGCATATGTGCATTCTGTGCAGATCGCCTCGATATAGCCTTAAGTCACAAGCTTTCTAAACAAAGATGGATAGTGGCTAGCAGTGGAATCCAGGACGCGCGTTTCGTCCCAAAACTATATAAGTTTTATAATTTCCTTTCTACCCTTATTCTTAACAGTTTATAATCTTTAAAATGGAAATGTGTCTGATTCTTCCATGAATCATTCCGATGTATTTGTTTCTAAAAGTATGTGTGAACTTGTAGTTTCAATGGAAAGTAACTTCAAAAAGATATTTATCTAATTTCGATTTTATTAATGATCATTTAGTTTTTGCTTCTGAAATAAGTTTAGTTCAACGAGAAGTCCCATTCAATGCTGTTATAATTCATTCATTAATTCCTAAAATCTTATAAAAATTTGAATAGTAGAAATGTAAGTACAAGTTGGAGATTTAGGATTTTCCTGTAAATTCATTTCTAGGTGTATTTATTTGTCCAAAGGCTTTACAATAACTGTCCACACTCTTTTTTATTTAGTTATTTAAAGACAATATGCTCGTGCTAACCAGACATTTGGTAGTACAAAAACCGTTACTTTTCTAAAATTTAATTATGTCAAATAACATAGATCCTAGTAGTGAATCCAGAGTTACTCCATTTTTTTTATTCATTGGATTGGAATCGAACACATTTTTTTGTAAAGAAGCAATCATTAATAGTGCCCCCAAATGCCCTGGTATGGCCGAGAGTGGGATGGGCGTGCCCTCCCTCTTGAAATGCTCTCACACGGCCACGCGTATACAGCCTCTGCCAGGGAAGTCCTACTCACTGCCTTATCGTGGCAGGGGTGTTGTTTACGAATATGAGAGGACGAAAAGCGAATGTCCAGCGCTTTAACCGGATTCCAAACCAATGGTGCACATGGGCTCCAGGTTCCTGCGGGAACAAATGGCGTATGAACCAATCGTTGGTCACCGGCTTCCATGGGACTGCATCGCTTTGCGATGCTCCACTGCCTTGTGGGTCAGACCTTTAGGTCAAAGGCTGGGGGTGTGGCCCCCTAAGATAACCACCTGCTTCGGTCTGGGCACCCGGGCAGTATCACAGCCCTCACACAAATTGAATGATTTATGTGGCGCATATCTATTTGGTGCCTTCTTGTACCAATATCTATGTGTGAAAATAAATAATAAATAAATAATCATTAATAGTGCAAAGCATCAATAGGAGTCGTTAGCAAACTATTTTAGTAGTTTCTTCTTTTTTGTTGTTATTAAAATTAGTAATTAATAATTTTTGATATAACATACTTGATATTCACTAACTTGTAACCTCTCACTCTAATTTTTTTCTTTATAGTTTTGCTTTTCCTCGTATTTTTCTGTCACGAGCATTTTGGACACCAGAACAATGTAAATCTATCGATACAAAATGTTTGAAAGATCGATTTGACTATAATACTCAATCTTTATTAAAGTCTAAGCTCTTGACAATAATTTATTCGTCTCCATGTTCTATGAATTATACTCAACCTATTTTAAAGTCTTTAAGAAAGTTAGCTAGTGCGTTAAGTCAGGTTAGTTTGTTGGTTTCAAGTATATAGATTTACGTTAATTCTTTGATGGACTCTAACATTTGTGTATTGTTTTAAGTTTTTTAAAAGAAAAACCTGTTTTTACATATACACTGGTGAATGATTTATTCATTTAACGTTTGTAACAATGTTTTTATTATATCAGAATGGAAAACTATTTTTTAGTCTTCGTTTTGAAGATAATCCTCATCCGTTGTGAAATCACTGAAAACCAGGAAGCGTTGAACAGCTATTCTATTGTCGTTCCATATTTGTCATCAATACGCAGCCGGGACCTTGAATATAATCGAACTTGCGATTGTGTAGTTTCATGGAGAGCTCAAGATTTACATTTCCAACCTTAGTCAATCCTCGTCTAAGTATTCGTTTTTGTATGAAATATGATCCGACTTTTTTTCGTACTTTGTATACTATCATCATCTAAGCGTATCTAGAACATTAACCATGCATATGTTTCTTCGAAAATTAGAATGTATACCATGCGATTAGAACTTTACGGGATTCGATTTTGAGTTCATTGTTTTATATTTACAGATGGATCCTAAATATTTTGTATAGATCATATGGTGGTTGACTACCTCCAACCACCATCTCAGTGTAAATATATTTATATAGATATTTTTAAACTTTCATCTTTAAATCTCATCAAATTCAATCAGGTCAGATGTACTCTCTCTATGCCAACGGGCTAGTTAGTGTGAAATTGTACTCTCGTTGTCGGTTCGTTTTTTTGTTGATAAAATAGTTTCGGTCTTTCTTGAGTTTATGTGGACGCAAACAAAAACCAACAAATGTATGTTTAATCTTAACAAGGAAAATATCCGTCTAATTAGTATAACTTAGTTACTAAGTTGATGTGGAATAGATGGAATGTGGCTAGCAGAGTGGGACCCAGTGACTATCTAGACTCGGTAACTTAGTGAATAACGCGATGTGGTTCGGAGCGAATGGTAATGGATTTGAGTCATGGAGTGTACATCAACTCTGGTATGAAGGTCCATTCAGTTGGCGGGCCCCAAATAGGACTGAACGCGTGTCCTGGATTCCACTGCTAGCTACATTCTATCTTTTCTTTAGCAACTTGTGTCATCCTGGATATATCGAGGCAATCGGCACAGGTTTGTTTAATTATCAAATGGACATACATGAACTCTACTTTAAGTCAATTTTTTGTTAGTCAAACCAAAGTAGAATAAAAAGCATATATTATAAGTCATAATCCGTTGAGATTTATAATAAATTTTACAGTTTATCTGGAAACATTCAGAACTACATGAAGTCAATTTAGTGTAAAGTAATAACTTACTATTTGAACCTCATCGATTGAACATTATTTGTACCATAGGATTACTTACTTATCTACTCACCCCTGTTACTCCTGGTAGAGGAGCATAGGTCGTCCACCAACATTCTCCATCAAACTCTGTCTTGAACAATCCTTTCCAGTCGATATTCATCCTTTTGACGTCTGCTTTCAGTTCTCGATTTGTGTTTTTTTTTAAATTACAAACTATGTGGTTACTTATCATATATCGTGTTTTATGTATTTTCACTTATGAAGCTAATTACTTCTCAGATATTTCATTTTCAGGTTTTTGAATAATGTTAACTGTAACAGCATAGCGAGAACAGCAAACTGAATGCTAATCTTATTATAGTAACAAATATTATTTGATTGAATAAACTGACTGATTAAATTCGCACGCGAGACCGAAGGTCCTGGGTTCAAGTCTCGCGTGCGGGATCGTAGATGCGCACTACTGAGGAGTCACATACTAGGACGAAACGGTCATCCAGTGCTTCCAGGTTTTTTATGGTGGTCTACCTTAAGTTGACTCATGAATTCAACTATCTGAGTAAATTTTAGTCTAATTTCCTCAGCATAGCTTATCTTCTCAGTTAATATATTCTACTCTAAAAATGAACCAGGAATATTGTATGTGTATGTGTGTGCATGTGTTTATTGTAATCATATCAACTCATTATGCGTGTTTATACTCGTGAATATTTACTTAACTAGGATTAATTTAGATATCGTTTTTTTACTATATGGTAACTGTGAAGTTTGATAAGATTGTGACTTGCAGACTGTTAACCTTTATCAAGTGACGGACTATCAATAATATCTTATAGGTCTCTATGCAACGACTTATAACGTATCTTAGTGTACGGTTATCCAACGAATATATACATGATATCTCGTTATCAGAGCTGGGATAAAGAAGATCGCTTGCAAATGTTCTAAGCTTGAGTTCGTTAATTCGCAGATAACTGTCTCCTTGCTGTAATATAAAATATAATTACACAAAACAATATACTATGGTGTTATATTTCACATCTTTTATGAAAAACTGAGTTAATAGGTTTTGTTTGTAATTTTACGATACTCATATTCTGTCACCTATATAACAAGATATCTTGTTAACTCTTCAATATATAATAGTTGAATACCAATACATCATCGATCTAAAACATGATACTAATTGAATAATGTTGCATTGTGTAAAATGGAATATTTATTCATTACGTTTTCATTATCTTTCTGAACAATATGGTTACCATAAAGGAAGTGAGCTGCTAGGATTTTTCAAACGTCTTTAACAGCTTATTCCATTGATATGAGATTTTGTTTGTTAACAATAATTGTACTCTCACTGCATATATCTATTTTGATAATATCTCTTATCTTGCAGTTATCTATCATTTTCTAGAAGGCTGATAGATTGGGCTTATTCTGACATTCTGTTGGTTGCTAAATAAGCTGTTTGTCATGCTTCAAAAATTCACAAGTCTTTCATATATTGCCTCTTTGAGATTCTAACATTTTCGTAGTTCAACTCCTAACCAGATTGATTAAATTAAGCGAAAACATGTTACAGCGTTTGGTGTCTTCATTAGACTAAGACGAATAGGATTATCATTTTGTCTACTGTATTGTTCCTCGTAGATAATAAAAAAATTGTTGTGTCTATACTCATTTTTTCTAAAAGATAAAGAGCACTATAGACAAATCTTTTTTTTCTACAAATTCCGTATCCGGTAAACAGATGATTTATACTTGTGTGTGATTTTTACTGGTCTAGAACATATTGTTGGAAGTTTTTCGTCATTATTTTCACCGTATTATAACGCAACACACACTCGAAATACAACCACTTAAACGAGGTTACAGTTGTGTCTTAGATTGGTATGATAAACCGATTGGCTCCATCTTTGTTGCCTTCTTGATGTTCGTCTGGCTGTAAAAGGTCAAATCTGTAGTCTATCGGTGAGAACAGTTTTACTCTAGGCTTATGAAACCCGGGTTTTCCGAGTTGTGGACGTTAGGTAACTCTGTGTTTGATCATCATCGTCTCCGAAGGATTACCGACATCTAGTGGAAACACCATGTTATTAATGCGGAGGTTCGGACACAGTGACGATCATCTAATTAGTATCACTATTTTGAAACACTGACTTCGATGTCTTGGACATGTATTACAAGTGTTGTCCCGGCGAATTCCACGGTGTGCTGACGCTGGGACTGGTTGGAAAAAGCGAAGAGGTAGTTAGTGTATGATATGGTGTAGTGGTATGACAGGAAGCTGTACAGGACTGGCTTCTGTTGGTCCTTCACGACATTTTCCTTGGGGTCCTCTTGACAGTGCAACACGCTGGCTTGAGACTATCAGATATGGCTTAGAATAGAAACCAGTGGCGATCTCGCTGTAGCTTTCTATTTCTTTTTTCATAAAATGGAGGTAACTTCTTTTCTGGCTGTATGTTTCTTAATTGAACTGATTCTCCCATTATTATCATTGTTGTAACTACTATTATATTTTATTATTACTTCACGCTTATACACTAATTTCTACTCATTGTTGTTCTTTTTTATTATATTCACTGTCCTTTCTCTATCTTTTCACAACCTCATTTTTATTGTGTGGGGCATATATATTTGGTGCCCACTTAAACCAATGTTTATATGTTGAAATAAATAAATAAATATCTACTTACATTTGAATGCCTGAATTAAATTCTTCCAGTTCGTTTCATATTTGCCTTTTATTACCATCACTCACAATGAGATTAGTCGAGAAATTGTATCTAATCATTGTTATCATAAATGGTGCCAATCCGGTTCCTCAATTATTTATATTTAGAGTATAAAGTAAATATTTTAATTTTTCAGTTGATAACTGTTCTGGATCTTTTCATGAAATATTTTTTTCGCTCTATCAGAATTTTAAGTTTTTTTCTAAATGTAATTTCAATAGTTAAGATCATGAGTCAAATGAAGCTAGACTACCGTGGAAAACCTGGAAGCACTGAATGACCGTTTCGTCCTAGTATAAAACTCCCTAAACAGTGTGCATCTACGATCCCGCCACACGAGATTCGAACCTAAGATCTATCAGTCTCGCACGCAAGCGCTTAACCTCCAGACCAGGTTTTCCATGGTGGTCTATCTTAAAATGATTCATAATCTCAATCATTGGAATTACTATAATATCCATAAAAACCTTTCTAATTATGTCATTTAATACATTATTTATCATGCATTAATAATTGACTGTATTCATTGACTAAATTACATAAGAATAAGTTATGTATAAATAATAAAAAAAATGTTGAGACTATGTAGTTGAGTTCATTTTCACCTTGATATTATTTATAAATTGATGAATCTTGTCTGAAACTCAATTACTTTTTTAAAAAAAATTGTGATTTAACTTACTGAATGGAAGAATGAATCCAACTAAACGGATTGATATTTGCATTCTCACAATTTAACTAATGAATTTTATTTGGTGTATTTAGTTATGTTTTCCTTTGTATAGTGAAAGCTTATATTCCTTCAGACTGGGTTTTATATTCACATTTAATAGTTTAGTTTTTAGTCAGTTGTAAACGATATATATATATATATATATATATATATATATATATATATATATATATATCAGTAGCAGTAGCAGTAAGAAAGATTAGATGTAGACAACATGATTCAAAAACAAAGAATGAATACATGGAATAAAAAGTATCATTATCTTGAGATTATGTCGTTCAAACCGATTCCGAGAGATGTCATCCAACATCTCCAACTATTAGTAACAATGATAGCCTAGACCTTAACTGACTGGTCATTGCCTACCTATGTAACAAACTAACATTTAATGACTTTATAAACTTATATCACAATTTAGTTTGACCGCTCCAAACGTTCTGCCAACATTCTCATACCCTACATCAGTAGGCAGTAATTTGGCATACATAATTCATCCCTTAACCACTTCATTAGATAAAGATTTATTGTGTCACCAATAAATTGGACATTTTTGCATAGTATGCTTCTTTCCACTGCAGTCTTGATCACATACACGAGCGATGCTTCAAAGGGGCCTATGATTAAACAGTAGTAACCTTATTTATTTTAACACATAAATATTGGTACAAAAGGATACCAAATACATATGCCCCACACAAAATTTCATTTGATTTATGTGTGGGCTGTGATACTGTCCGGGTACCCAGATCGAAGCAGGACTAGTAACCTACAAAGGCCATGTATCCCGGTCATAAATTAGAACAAAGTACTATTTTATAAAAATTCAAAAGTTGCTTGTCAGTCATTTACACCATGATCAACTGATATCAGTCCCTAGTAAAGTAGCGTCCAAATTACTAAAGGAAATATATAGTGATTGATTATTTTTTCTATATAAATTGCTTATTAACAGTTAAACATAGGAGTCATTTCGAATAAAGGTAATTATGCATTCTTGGTCAGTTTAGCTAACTAATTAAACAATGTAGCTTACATTAGCAAAAAATAAGTTAAGTTTTCCTCAATATGTTAAAATGTTGAGTTGTGTTAACTAGATTCTTTACATTACTGTTAATACCTCTGTTTTAGTTTTAAAACATTTTAAGCTCATGTTTAGTTTCCATGTATTTTTCAGGTAATTTTTTGTTTTATATGTTTTCTTATCATTGAAATCTAAGCATTTTAATGATGTACTAGGACTATTTAATGTAACAAATTTATCATTATACCATATTACATATTGTTCGGTTCTGAGAAATATATAATAAATTTATAAACTATTTAACATAAGATCTGAAGTTCTGAGTTTGGTCTAAAATTGCAATGAAAAAAGTATCAAGTAGTTTCTATCCATTCATAGTTATCATTTTTACTAAATGCAACAATTTACTTACAATATATCATTATGAAATGATCATCTGATAAAAAGAAGAATATTATTCACTCTTTTTGTTATCGAATACAAACTCTATGTCATACTGAATATATATTCAAGGAAAACTTAATTTTATTCAATAAACTTATGGAAGAAATATACAGTCAAGAAGTCAGAAATTCTATTTGTTAACTGTACTTCAAGGATTTCAAATGAATAAGACATTTGATATATATCTACAAAACTATGTGTTTGAAGTTATAAGATTTGTAGTTAAACGTTTTGTAAATTTTACAAAATACAATTAATCTTCTATCTGTACAAAAACTATTGTTCATCATTTATTTGGTACTATATAAATCTACCAGGTTCTATTTTCTATAAAAACAGAGTGCATTAACTTTAGTCTGAGTAGATATTTCAGAATAGTTGTTTGGAAAAAACAAACAACGACTGGGTATATTAAATAATTTGTTTCCAATTCTGAGTCAGTTTTATTTATATTCTTCGTTAGTTTCTATTTGTTTCTATTTATGAGCATATTTTTTTCTGATATTATTCTTTTTCTTTTGAAAAACAAATATATATTTCAATGCTTAAGATCATGAGTCAGTTGAAGCTAGACCACCATGGAAAACCTGGAAGCACTGGATGTCCGTTTCGTCCTGTTGTGGAACTCCTCAGCAGTGCGCATCCACGACATCGCCATCTGCGAGATTCGAACCCATGACTTACCGGTTTCGCGTGCGAGCACCTAACCACTGGACCACTTAGCCGGCATTCAACGGTGTTAATGTCTAACTTCAACTAATCCACGAAACTGAGCGGCACATCCACAGTTGTCTTCAGTAAGTTACTATCGCACAACAGACCTGGTTGAACTCCACTGGTCACTACTTCTCACTAGAACTTCAGCAAATACCTCTTGAAGCCAGTCACTATTGAGCATGTGTTGATTAATATCCACAAAACCCTTCCAAATATATATTTGTCTTTTTTTCAAGGTTTCAATATTAGAACCAATTTCAATCGAACAAATTCGTGATTTAGTACCTGCTTTCAAAGGTCCATTATCTTTAGAACAATTGGATACGAGTCATTTAGTGAGTTATTCTGTTTTATGTGACAATAGTATTTACTCAAAATAAGATTATGATAATAATAATATTGTTTTTTAAGAATATATATCTCTGAAAATTCCAACTTTTACTACCCTTTATGAATTTCTGCTTTGTAATAACTGCTACTTTTATCTATTTTTAGAAAAAAATTGTTATAACTTGTGGCCTGAGTGCCATGCTAATGTATACGTAATGATACCACCAATCAGAAAGCAGTGAATTATCGATCGGGCCAACGACACATAAAACCCATGAGAGCAGTCTAGAATCCTTATTGGCCTTGCCTTTTGCCTAGCCCAGCCAATTAAGTCCAGAACACCAATCTCAGCCTCTGAAATATAAATCATTTATTTCAAACATACTGGGTTTATATACCAATCAAACATACCATATCGTACTGTAGAATATGAAACAAAATTTGTACAAGAATTAGCTACAATCGAAGAATGGTAAATCGTATAATAATAGTTTATGGGTCAAACTAAAGCTTATAATAAGAGGGAGATGAATATGAATAGTTTAGTTAAATAACAACTATACGATAAAACTATATTCATAGTATTGGTCCATAAATAGATCCCAAAAGTTACCATTCATTATGCTTATCGAGGCATACCAAAAATAATAAAATGTTTAGTGGTTTGGTTTCATACATTTACCATGCATTTAGTGAGAAAGATATGCTTACTATTATAGTTTTCATTACGGACTGATCTTAGTTAAATAACCATTGGAAACCAGGAAGTTTTAGATAACTATTTCTACTGTTCGAGAATATACATCCACTACACCTCAGGGATTGAGACTAAGATCCTCGGGTTTTACGGTTAGGGCCTAACCTTTGGACTGCTGAGCCGGCATCCAATAATTTACATGTTTAATTTTAATCAATCCATGACATTATGCAATCATTTTCCAATATCATTAATATGTAACTGCTTCACATTCGTTCGGTCTACTGATCCCTAGATCTTGACAGTTATTTACCTGAGATCCGTCTTTGGTGTAAACTTAAAAAAGTCAATAATCTTAACAGACTCCCTATAGTATTCATTACTATTATTGTATTTTATTTCATATTTAAACTGGCTGTTTACCTCTAGAATATCTATCACTGTTCACTTCAAGTGATCCATCCTTTTTCACCCTACACGTCATACTTACCAATGAAACGTATATAGCTGCCATTTTTCGCACCATCACTGTTATATCTTTTATAGATGACATTAGATGTTTTTTAACTATGATCGTTGAAAAAAAGTGATTGAAAATTATACTACTTGGATTATGACCGGTAATAAATTCCAAAATAATGAAAAAAAGTGCAAGGTTTCGTACAGAATACATATTACCATGCAATTTATTATAATAAAGCTAGTATTCTTCCGAAGTTTCCTAATTTTCTATTGTTGTATACCCGATTCTAACGTGTGGTTTATTTCAGAGTCCTAGATGTTAGCGAACTGATCAACTAGTCATACATATTTCTCTTACTTTATAACAGCTTTAATTATACACTTTTCACACTGAATTCAACATAAAAAAGTTTCATTAATCAATGTTTGTCCATGTAGATACTATGATTTATATGTAATAATCGACACTTGCTCTAGATTCAGTAGTCAGATGACAAGAAGTACATTTCATTCTGCTGTTATTTTTCCATACTGGTTTTTATTTGTTTTACTTGTTTGAATTCTCCAAAGAGAGCGTTTGATTGATTACAAAATAGTAACTAACGTCAGGATGAATGAATTCTAGTGATCATATCTCAGCGTCGTTATTAATCTAATTTATTCGATATTTCACGAACTATTTTAAGATATTAGTTGATTAGAGATATTTTCTACACGAAACTCGGAATCTAATTATCTTGATAGAACTAATGCTCCATGTGAAGTTCAAATTTGCATCATTCTGCTTCACAATCTGATACGTTACACCTGAGCTATCTGGGTCACAAGTCACCTGCAATCATCTAACCAGTCAATAAAATTTAGGCAAATATAACATTACTGTAATTATTTGCTATTAATTAATAACCATCATCAAAAGATCGTAGTAGTTTGTTTCATATTTAAATAACTGCATACAATTCATTATTGTTATGATAATTTAAGAGTATCATATCTATTTTGTACACAATTCTCAAAAGTATAGTTCAGGTGTTTCTCAGTCACTAATAGTTTGTTTCACTAAATGTATTATCATTTGTTGTTTTTTATAGATGGTACGAAATTAATACTCATACACAATATAAACTATCCTTATCCATTGTATATACAACTTGAGCCGATCAATAAAACTGAACACATAGAATGTTGCTAAAACATTCTCGAAATACTTGATATAAATTTTAAGTACAATTAAATGAAATCAGAATAGTTTTGTTGTGGCCCCCTAAGAGAACCACCTGCTTCCGTCTGGGCACCCGAGCAGACTCCTAGCCCTCACACAAATTGGATGATTTATATGGCGCATATATATTGCGTGTCTTTTTGTACCAATGTTTATGTGTTTAAGTAAAAATAATAAATAAATAAATCAACCCATCATATCTCACTAATATTTTTGAAATAATAATCTTACTTGTGCAAATATGGATAGTGGCTAGCAATGGAATCCAGGATGCGCATTTCCTCCTATTTGGGACTCGTCAACTTGGTGTGCCTGAACCCAAGTTGATGTTCACTCTGGGACTCGAACGCAGTACCGTTCGCTCTAAACGCCATCGCGTTATCCATTTAGCTACTGAGTCCTGGGTACTAGGATTACGGTACTGGGTTCGGGTTCCAGAGTGACCATCAACGCTAAAATGCAGGTACATCCGACTGACGAGTCCAAAATAGGAAGAGATGTGCATCCTGGATTCCATTGCTAGCCACTATCCATCTTTGCTTAGAAAGCGGCGAGACTCTAATTTAGGGACGAGCCAATCAGAAGCGTTTGAGCAATTTCAAGGTCACGGAGCCAAGTTCAACACGCGCTGCTAACATACGATCGGTTCACAGCGGATTTTAGAGAGTAGGTGATTAATGAGAAGTTACAACAGATGGGACGGCGAAACTCTAATTTAGGGACGAGGCAATGAGAAGCGTTTGAGCAATTTCAATTATTAGCCAATCAGAAGACAGTATAAAGTAAAAATATATTACAAGAAAGTAATGAATTACAGTGGATATTCTTCTTTTACATGATTTAAAAACTTGTTGAGGTTTGATAAAGACTCAGAAGTTCTGAATTCATAATGCATATTGTATAGAAACTCGTCCATAGGGTTAGGGTTTGGGGTTAAAATTAGGGTTAAGGGTTAGGTTAAGGTTAGGGTTTAGGGCTAAAGTTAGGGTTTTTGGGTTAGATTAGGGTTTAGGGTTAGATTAAGGTTAGATTAGGATTTAGGGTTAGGTTAAGGTTAGGGTTAGATTAGGGTTTAGGGTTAGGTTAAGGTTAGGGTTAGATTAGGGTTTAGGGTTAGGTTAAGGTTAGGGTTAGATTAGGGTTTAGGGTTAGGTTAGGATTGGGGTGCTAACATGCGATCGGTTTACATCGGATTTTAGATATGTGTCTACTTACAGGCTACAACCCTAACCACTAACCCTATGGATGAGTTTCTATACAATATGCATTATGAATTCAGGGTCTCTGAACCTTTATCAAACCTTAACAAGTTTTTAAATCATGTAAAAGAAGAATATCCACTGTAATTCATTACTTACTTACAATATATTCTCACTTTATACTAACTGAATTCTGATTGGCTAATAATTGTCAAGGTCACTTAAGATTCGTTCAAAGGTCGTCCTTAAATTAGAGTCTCGCCTAGAAAGCTTGTGACTTAAAGCTATATCGAGGCAATCCTTACAGGATGCGCCTATGCCAACATGAGACTGGTCAATTGCAGTCCTAAAGAACAGTGAGAAGATACAAGTAAAACAACATCAAGTCAATAATCTTGTGTTTTAAAATGACAAATTTAAATAAGTATTATGACTTAAACCAATTGCTTTGTTCGGTATATTTTTTCCTAATTATCTATATAATAATTTTTCTGATGGCTAAGTTATCAATTTTGTGGTATATACTCTGAAGAGATGACTTACATCAAGTCACGAAACATCAGAAATACAATTTTTCTATTCATTAGGATATAAAAAATTTATTTATTGTCAAATTTCTCCTCAAAACTCTCTAGTCCAACCTTGGTACTGATACTGTGGTGTGTGCTACTTATAGAAATAAGTAGTATATGATGTTAGTCGTGAACAGAAGGTCTGGCAGCAGAGACAAGAGGATCGAACAGTGAAGAATGGAAACAGGATGCGATTTGTATGAAAATGAAGTCTGAGTCATCTTGAGACAATTGATGGACATTTTGCAAATTAAGCATTTACTTTATGATTGTTAGATTTTATTAACAAGTCCTATAATTTTGTGTTAGATACATTCGATTGTCCCCACCCGTGTTTTGTTCACTGCAACACCTATAAAGTTGTATTTTATTTTCGTTTCTTTGTAAATATGTATTTTTGAAGTTAAAGCTTCTATTTAAATACAAAACAACTTAGTGAAATCGATGGTTAGAAATAATTTTGTTCTCACGGTATACAACCATCTTTTTACATTTTAGATAAATGGAAATCACTTAACTATTTTCAAAAATTAGTCTGAGAATATCAAATTTCTAGTTTTAATATTATCTTATAGTATTTAGGTTTTATTTGATAATTTATTTCCTAATCTTTATTCTCTTGTGTTGTTTATGAGGAGTTTAATAATTGGATTTTATGGTAGTATATATTATTAGAAACGTATCAAAAAAGTGCGTTCATTTTGTGAATGACATTCACTTGACAGCTGTTTATTGCATCAACATCCATAGCAACCCGCTATTTAAAATAACTGTTTCAGCTAGTATACAACCAACGTCAGGAAAATCCTGCTCATTACCATCTTGTGGCGAGGATGTTGTTCACGTAATTGAAAGGATAAAATGCAGATGTCCAGTGTTTTAGCCGGGTTGATGGATATGGAGGATCCACCTAGTGGAATTGAAAAATCTCAATTCCAAGTCAATGGTGCACATGGGCTCCAGGATTCTGAGGGAACAAATGATATGTGAACCTATTATTGATCACCGACTACCATGGGACTGCATCTCCTTACGTTTCTCTACTGCCTTATGAATTAGACCTCTAGACCAAAAGATTGGGGAATTGTTCACTTAAAAAAACTACCCACTTCTGCTCCCGAACCATATTCTAACCCACACACAAACCAAATGATGAAGTATGTCGTATATTATATTTGGTGCTTCTTTGTACCAATGTTTATGATAATTAAATAAATAAATATCATCCCGTCATATCAAGTAGAATATCTGTTTTTCATTTAAGGATGACAAAAGTTATAAACATTGATCTTCAAAAATAAATAAATAAATAGGTGATTTAAAGAAGCTGATCCTAATCGAATTGCCAATAAAGTTTATCTTTAGTTACCAATCGACATTTTGTCCACTAACTAGTATATACATGTATGTATATACCAGTCATATTACATATTCCTTAAAAAAAATTAATTATAGTTTTTATTAAATATAAACTATAAAACTGCTTTATTTATGATAAGTTGTCGTGTGACTTTAATAAATTACCTAATTTCAACAAACTATACTTCATATATAGTTATTAAGTAGTGAACAAGAAGATGAATGGGGATAATCGAATGTATTTGACACAAAATTATAGAACATCTCAATAAAATCTGAGAACCATATAGTAAATCCTTAATTTACGAAATATCAATCCATCATCTCAAACTTCATTGTTCCTTTTTAAAATATCAATCCATTGTCTATGATTTCATTGTTCAGGCCTTTTCATATCAATTGCGTTCCGTTTTCGTTCTTTCTTTATCGATCTTCTACTGAAATACATTCCATGCCTGACCACTGTTATATACTACTGATATGAATATAAGTAACCCACACTACAACTACAGTATCCAATTGTGGTTGATATGAAATTATTCTCTTTATTATTATTATTATTAATAATAATAATAATAATAATAATATCGATATTAATATTAATAGTAACCACAATAAACTTTAATAATTATCAAAATATATTAAATAAAAGTAATTACTTTAAATAGTCGTTTTATATATCCTGTCTTACAGATTTACATTGAATATAATAAGAAAAAATTTTTTTAACTTAAAACATTGATAAACATAAAACTATATTCGTTGATATTTATATGTGGTAATAACACTTGAGAGCATGTAGTTAACCTAGGGATCAACAATTTATCATATTGACCTTATACAATCCTATTTTATAAATGAATTAATTCATGTTAACATAATAAAGACCTTTTTTTAAAATCATTATCTATGTGTATAAGTTTGATTTCCTGTATTGTACTGACATAAGTTTATTTCACAATTGATTGACCACTGGGTGGCGATCGATGTCATGCGTGCCTAGTCCTTATTAGTGCAGATCGAATGCTATCGATCGTGTTGCAATATGGCCACCAGTCTAGGTGACTCGACAATGCGGGCACTATATATTGAGATTAGATGGTGGTTGGAGGTAGTCGACAGGCAACCCTTGACCCGGGTTTCTTGCCACTTGGCACTCGTCAGCAAGGTGTACCTGTAATCTTGAGGGAACTGGTGCTCCCTGGCGGATTGGATCTCATGATCGATAGCATTCGATCTGCACTAATAAGGACTAGACACGCATGACATTGATCACCACCCAGTGATCAATCAATTGTGATTACATCTCAGTCCTACAGGAGGTTAGTCACGGCTCGGATAGCTCAGTGGTAACGTCTCTGACTGTGAAGCTGGGTGACACGAGGTCGAATCCGCCAGGGAGCATCAGTTCCCTCAAGATTACAGGTACACCTTGCTGACGAGTGCCAAGTAGCACGAAACCCGGGTCCAGGGTTTCCTGTTGACTACCTCCAACCACCATATAATCTCAATAAGTTTATTTATTTGATAATATTATAGTTAAATTCATTTAACCTTTCAATTATTTATTTGGTATAAAATTAATTATTTATTTATTTGTTCACTATATTTTAGTCTGTTGTTAGGTATATTAATTTCATGGTGAAATATTTTTTTTAAAATTATTGATCAGAGTGGGGTTTGCTGAGATTGTAGTAATTTTAATAGTTGGATATGTATTGTTGAGGAGTCCCATAGTGGGACGAAACGACCGTCCTGTGCTTTCAGGTTTTCTATGATGATCTAGCTTACATTGACTCAGTAATTATTATTTTTTTAATAGTTGAATTCATGAGTGATCAATACATTTTAATTTTACTTTATTAAAATATCTTGCAGCTAGATTGAATATCAAATTATTATCATTCAGAATTATTTTGTAAGACTGAATTTTTTGAACATTGTTGAGTTGACTTTTGTCAGTTAGCGTAAGTCTTCGTCACGTGGGTAGGAATGGTAGGTGCTTTGAGTGCGTTGAGGTTGGACACTATATAAGAGATTGCACGAGGGAACAGAAAAACAGAATGTTTACACAGTAGGTATACTGAATCTTGAGTCATTTATTTGTAGGTTTTTTGCGTGTTCTGCAATCCAAGTTGATCCTAGACTGTCTTCTACTGCTTCTCTTCTATCCTCTAACATATTCTGCATACGCCGCGTTTTTTGACCTACTGGGACTCTTCTCTTCGGCAATTGACTGTAGTAACGTCTACGCGACATTCCTATATATACTAATCATAAGCAATCTTATGAACAGCATTCATTACACTAATACCAGATCAGTGAATTCGTATTTCAATGTATCATGTTTTACGTCATATAGTTAGAGACTATTAAAACAGGTATCCGATTTGTTTTGTAAATCTGAAGAAACACTAATTGTAATTTCAATATCTTACTAATTGCCTCTATATATGCTAAGTGAATATTGTATTGAATCATGAGTTTGTAAAAATAATGTTACGAATTGACCCAAGCTGAAGTTCACGCCGAATATTTTAAAATATAAAATTATATGGACCTTCGTGTAATTATGAAGAATGTGATCAACGTGTAATATTATTTGTGAGTTTCCGTATAGGTTACAACAACTATTCAATGCTCTCTTTGACTTACCACTAATTTTATCTGTCAATATAAGGGGAAGCCCTTTGAATTATATTCAAATGTTTATAACTCAATCTAAATCATATTTTTTTATACTGATATTGTTAGCTAAACATTTTTAGAGCAAATGCATTTAATAAAAAGAATAAATAGTTTAAGGTGTATCTAATTGGCAAAAATTTCACCGCTCAGCTGATACTTACCTCTCGATATATATATATATATATATATATATGAGGGACTATGTTTTTACCATTGTAAACTATGTATTTTTCTAGTGTTGATGAAGATTTACTTGTCGAGTCTTTTTTGCCTACCCATTTTTTCCTGTTGAGTTTTAACAATTCATCTACACTTGTTATAGTTCATATCAGGTTGTCTAATAATTTCTTTAGAAGTTTCCTTTTGAAAAAAAGAATTTATACACATATAGGTAAATTGATACGATTTAAAACAAACAGACTCCACTAAACATTACGAGTAGTTAGCAAATAACAATTGTTCCTCTCATAGTGACTTATATCTCATTAAGTCCAAAGGATATTAGGAGATATCTATAACTATAAACACTAGATGATTGACAAAAATACAGCCCTATAAAAACGCTTAGTCATTCACTAATTACTTAGTTATGAGCCACACCATAACTTTGAAGGTAATAATACTACTAGGTTGCCCAAACTGAAGTAGCTAAGGAAAGACTTGGATTTTAGTGACTGAAATTTAACATACAATATATATAGAAATACCAATCCTGTCTCCTATAAACCTACTCTGTTGACCTCTATCTTAATCGCTTCCTGACAATATTAATTCAATATGTCCTTATAAATAATTGTTTTCATATCAGATTAATTAGGGTTATTATTATTTTTTTAGGCGGCTTTATGTCGATTACACGGTCTCTCTATATATTCATATATTTGGATGATGAATACATTATTATGGAGTGATTTATTCAAGAGAAAATCCATTCTAAAAACATCTCGTATACTTGTATTAAAGAAACATGCATATTTCTTATATGTTGAAGATCAATGTATGCAAAAAGATAAGTTATTCAATGATAATTATTTATCGATTTTACAAAATTCTGAATTGAAACAAGTAAGTATTTAAAAGATGTTATTATTTCTTCTAGAAAAGTAAACAAATATATATAATCAGAATGGGTTTTGTGGAGATTTTTAGAAATTCCACTGGCTGAAATCATGAGTCAATTGAAGCTAGACCACTATGGAAAACCTGGAAGCACTGGACGACCGTTTCGTCCTAGTATGGGACACCTCAACAGTGCGCGTCCACGATCCCGCCCCCCGCGAGATTCGAACCCAGTACCTATCAGTCTCGCGCCAGGCGCTTAACCAACTAGACCACTGAGCCGATCTAGCTTCAATTGACTCATGATTTCAAACAGTGAAATATATATAACTAGGCAATTTTATTATTGGTTAATATAAATGGATAACAATTAATAGATACAATTACACCATTTTATAGTTTTATATTCCACTTTATTTGATCATTAAAACAAAATTGATACTTGAAGTATTAAAAGAGTCATTTTTCACATTAGTTCATATCAATCTAAAACACTTTAAAGAACAATCGTTTTCATTAACTGTCTCTTAGTTCTTTATAAACGTATACAAAAATGCTCGGATCTTGTAAAAAAAAGTTTTCCGCAAAAAAATACACCCATCTCATACATTAAGCTTTTAATTTGGAAAATTAATTTTTAAAAAGTAGACTGATTTTTCGTTGTGTCGATAAATGTCTATCAACATTGATATCTTGAAGAAAAAACACAGAATACAAACTTTTTAAGTTTCGGTGTTGAAGATTGTAGGCAAAGATGGATAATGGCTAACAGTGGAATCCAGGACACGCGTTTCGTTCCATTTAAGACTCGTTAGCTGGATCTGAACATCAACTCTGGGATGCAAGTACATCCAGCTGACGAGTCCCAAATGGGACGAAACGCGCGTACTGGATTCTATCCATATTTGTTTAAAATGCTTGTGACTTAAGGCTTTATCGAGGCAATCCACACAGGATTCACATATGCCAACATGAGACTGATCAATTGCAGTCTTAAATAACAATGAGAAGATACACGTAAAACAATGCCTAGGGAATTTTAAGATTGTACTTTGTAAATCTTTAGTTAGAAATGAATTCTGTTAAAAAAACACGCTAATTTATTTTTTATGTTAGTTTTCTGTTGTGAATAATTTTTTGAAACCTTTCTTAATCGTTTTTTAAGTACTACTTATTTTTACTTATTATTGGCTTCATTCAATATTATAATTTTTTGTATAATATAGAATTCTCAGCACGATGTGTTTCAGCGAGTTTCCATTTCGTATTTCTTGATCGATATTTTCGATAAATATTGAGTGATCGATAGTTAGATATCAGCATTTGAGAAGTCGATATCTGAATAATATTTATTCAGACATCAGGATGTCTCAGATTGTACGTTTCTGTAACTTGTACAGCGAAAGGTCGTAAACATTTCATAAATGCACCTGAATAAGTTATGCAATTAATTGACATAATGATCTGTTAAAACAAATAAGGAAACAGATAACTTGTTGAAATATCTAGATGACAGGAACAGGTAGCCCAGATATTCAAACAGATTGCTTTGCAATTTTTGGTGTTAGTTACATTTTCCTTATTTAATTTTATTTCATGAGTTGGATGCTTCTGAATGACTGTTTTTATTCTGTTATTTAAACACATGAACATTGATAGAAAAAAGCACGCAGTGTATATGTGCCACATTTCATCATTCGATTAGTTTGTGAGCTGGAATACTGCTCGGGAGCCGAAAACGAAATAGCTGGTTTTTTAGGCCACATTTGGGTCCTTTGACCTAGAGGTCTAGTCTATAAGGCAGTGGAGAAACGTTAGGAGATACAGTCCCATGGTAGCCGGTGATCAATATTAGGTTCGTATACCATTTGTTCCCTCAGGATACTGGAGCCCATGTGCACCATTGATTTGGAATCAGGGTTTTCAGACTCCCGTTCGTAGATCCTTCATATCCACCAACCCGGCTAAAACACTGGACATTCGCATTTTATCCTTTTAATTTCATAAGCAATACCCTCGTAGCGAGAAGGCAGTGAGTGAATTAATGTATTATACTACTTCTGACTTATTATTTAGTTGTACTCTTATAAATTCTCACCACGACTTGAATTTAAGACTCGAATCCAATGGATTGCTAACTTATGCTTTGTATGCAATAGTTATTCATTGTTTGTAGTACTTATGTACTTTAGTTTACTGACTCATAGACAAATGGTTTAATCGTTTTGTTCTATTTTTAACGACATCAACCTTTTTATCTTAGGTGTGTAACACCTTTGGTTAGAAAATCACACTTCTATATCATTAATAAACTGCAGAAACATTTATTTTGCCAATAATCCCATTATCTATGAAGTGTTTCTGAATTTTCTATTTTGTTCGTACGAATTTCTCCTTATTCTAAAGAATATCCCTAGTACTTAACTTCAAGTCAAAATTATGCTCAGATTATTGGGGTAGTTTTTATGTGGACTGTATTAATTTTCGAAGTAATTTTATGGATTAAGTTTTCTTCAATCAAGATTTAGTAAGATGCAGATAACTGACGACTATTAATCAATCCTGGCCCATTAAAGTTATTTCTACATTTTGATATACAAACAACCAATTCATTTTCTAAGGGATCTTATGATGTATTATGATCCTCTAATTATGTCTCTTGGTATCTTTATGGTTACGCCATAGGATTGGAGTGCATTGTTCAGGCTGTGAAGAGCCTTGATAATGTCTGATTCTCTTGGAAATTAATGTAAAATTATTCTCTTAGAGGGTCTATTTATGATTGTGATTTGACGTTTTTTTATGTTGATCTTTGTTTTTATTAGCTTTGTTTACTACGAGGAATTAATCCGCACTTATTAAATCATAAAGATTTGGAGGAAAAATTACAGTATTGGATTTCAGCATCAACCGTTGCTTCAGGTAATAACAGTAACTGACTCCTTAATGTTTGTCAAATTGATATTATATAAGTATGATTAGTAGAGTTGTTTTTATGCTACAATGTTTGTATGGTGTGTTAAATATGTTCAATTTACTTACGGAATAATCAGCGAAACAATGTTACCTCCGCGTGACTATCGTAACCAATGACTAGAGACTCTTGGTGATATGGCTCACAATCGATCACAATGGCATTGGTGTATACACTCTTTGTCTTCCCTTAAACCGTGAGATTAAAATTGTTTTATACTTTTATATGAAGTAATTTTTTCTTTCTGCATTATATCCTTATACGCAATCGTTCTTTTGTATATTACTACCATTGGATTAACTACTTCTATAAATTTGATGTTCATCTTGTTGTGCTAATGAGGTGTTGCAACTTGGACCGATGCATATATGTGCCTGATTCTACGTTGTAGCTGACTGACTGACCTCATCTCCAGTGCTAATAGAATTGTAGTGTCGTTATTAGTCTGAGTGATTTGATTCCATAGGGGAACACACTTGATGTTATGTATCATTTCATATTTTTCATTCTATGATTTCGTTTTCTCACTTCAAACTTTATGATCTAATCTAGATGTTTATCAATCCCACTTTTAATCTCTTTGGTTTATTCCTTTTGTTATGCTGATGTTACTGTAAATTCGCGTAATCACGGAAAATGGTTCTTGAATTAGGAAACAACAGAGGTTTGCACCATGTTATGAAGCAATCGAAGATGGATTTCGGATGAAAATTTTTATTCACCCTTCAAATACCTGACGATAAATACTTACTAACCAAATATTTTTACTTATGTACAGATTTTACTGGAGATTAAATCAACAAATGTCATACATAACTGAAATAGTTTTAATATAAATGAATCTTTCATCTTGAACTATACAATTGAACACTAAATATCACATTAGACTAATATCATGCTAAACCTATACAAGAAATATTGTATTGAAGAAATTTATGATAACAATGGTATTACCTGTAAACATGTCTTTTTTTGTATCACCAAATCGTTTTAATTATATTCTGAAAACAATTACAGAATGCACACCACTTTAAAGACATGTTGATGAAAATAGGAATGTAACATGTAGAAAAAGGCAAAAGATTTCAAAAGATATGATTAATGCATAGTTTGGGTTAAACATTTTTGCACAAAGACTTTATTCACATGAAGTATGTTATCCAAGTTAAATATTTAATTATAGGTTGTAACATTTTAGAACACAGAGTTTTTATCACAACAAAACACTGTAATAGTCATCAGTCTTGTGAAAACAAAGTTATCTCTAGTGTGCAATATAACAAGAATATAAGCACACTATGATATTGATAGCTACAAAATCATGGACATTTTGGAATGATAAATGTTTCATAGTATGCAGTTGTTAAGACCCAACATTTTCTCAATAGACAGACTGTTACTTCATGCTTCAAAGTGAAACTTGCTGCAAAAGGAAATTTCTATCCCGTTACAGGGTGATTATGTTCAAATACAACTACAGAAAAAAATAACACAGATCAAGAAACAAAAAAATTTACTGTGATAAGTATATCACTATATATTTAGACGATTGTTTCATGGTCTACTTGTTTAAATTTTATTTAAACTAATAAACTGTGTACATTCTTACAGTGACAAATAGAATAAGGTTTGAGACTAATCAGGACTAGTGTAGGCGTCAAGAGATATAATGTCTCTATGATGCAAAATTTAATGATTGTACTCAATACTGACAGTGAGCAAACATTTAAAGTTCCTAGTGGAATGATATATAATCGTTTTTGTTAGGATTTTCAAGGAAATATTTGATATGACCTATATATTTGTTGTACAAAGGATGGTAGTGAGTTTCATTTTCATGAATAGATTGTGGCAAGTTTTTTTTTCTTCAGGTTTTCGAGAAACTACTTGTAAAGTAATTCAGTGTAATTTCTATGTACTAAACTAATATTATTAAGTGAACTTTTTGTTTTAAGTAGTAGATTTCCAGTTAAGTAATAATAATACTTTTGTATTTGGAAATTTTGTTCTTTTTAATTAACATTTGAATTCATTAATTGTAAATAAGTGTAAACAAATTAATTTGTTTCTATGTTAATGCATACTACTAGTATGATTATGTTAAAAATTTTAATTTTTAGTTCTAATTAACTGGAATCAATAACTTTTGACTTCTTGTTCATCCATTTAGTCGCTAACTAATAAAATCCGACTGACAATTAAATTTTAATTGTTGAATATTATTACATGGTTTACACCACGGATAAATTTTAGTCAAACAACCTTTGAAACCAAAAAGTACTGGATATCTGTTTCATTCTTGTATGAAACTTCTTAACACTACAAATCTACGACTCCTTTGCTGATTGAATTCCAAACTTTCATGATGAGCTCCTAACTGTTGAATTACGGAGCTGACACGTATAATTTTAATCAATTCTCGACTGATTTTGAGAGGTAATCCTCAGAGTTCTAATGACCAGTAAGGTTTAGTTATACTGAATACGAGGCAGTTACCCACTAATCGGGTGACTGCGCATTATTGTGAACTGATTGAAGTTAGATATGTAATCTATTAAATGCCGGATCAGTGGTCTAAAGTTCTATTGCTCGCTACGTAACTTTGAAGTCTTAAATGAGACCTTCTCGGGGCAAGGGAATGGATGAGCACTGTTTCGAGGTTTCAAACAAGAAAGTAACAGTTGTTCAGTCCCTCCTGGTTTTTAGTGGTTGTTTAACTAAGATCGATCAATAATAGTAACCGTAAAACTCATCAATCTCTTCTAACGTATAGTGAATATCATTGGCAAACTAACGTTTGAGAGTTAGGAACATTAAATTTATTTTCATTATCTCATTAGAATTAGTCGTCCATCATTATTGTCAATGTTTATTTTTCCTAACTATTAAATTGCAGTTTTTTGGGTGGTGTTTTTACTTGGCAAATTTATCTGGGAAAGGTGCTCAATACTAGTATACCTGCACCCTAAATGTCTATTGCCTCACTCTATTATAAATGATGAAGGAACTGGTGAGAAAAGTAATATGAATATAAATTCTCAGCTTGATTTCGCATATCTTACGTAAACTAACATCGTTTGGTTGACAGAGATAATATAAAACCAAATACAAATGAAGTTGAAAGAATTGATTTCCGACACTCTTTTATGCAAACAGACAATGAGTGATGCAAAGTCAAAGAGATGATGGTAAATATATCTACTCAAAAACATAACTCAACATTTATATGTATAATAGATACGTGTATACATGTGAACACATATATACATTTATCCAAAAGTTAGGATCATCCTTTTAGGCTTAGAACAATACAACTTTACATGAAAATGTTTTTTTTTAAAAACTCATTTTGGCAATATGTAACTTTAATTACACTAATAATCATGCATGTTGAATAATTTTCACTATTTTATTTTTAACTAAATTATGCATTTATTTATTCTTTGACTTTTTCTTTCTTCTTTTGTATAGAAACGGATTTCAGTTTTCGTTTACATCTTCCCTTATTATTGTGTTCCAATAATATTGATATTAATAATGATAATAGTATTGATAAATATTAATTCACAGTTAGTATACTAAACAGATCAATTGTAGATCTTTTTATATTTTTATATGACTTATTATTATTAATAAAATCATATTATACCTATTGTGCTGTTAACCTTGTGTAAATCTCTTTCAATATGTATATATACTTCCTTACGCCTGTTACTCCCACTGAAGCATAGGCCGCCGACCAGCATTTTCCAACCCACTCTGTTCTGGACCTTCCTTTCTAGTTCGATCCAATTTTTGTTCATTTTTCTCATGTCGATCTCCACTTCCCTGCCTAATGTGTTCTTTGGTCTTCCTCTTTTCCTTTAATCTTGAGGATTCCATGTAAGGGCTTGTCTTGTGACGCAGTTCGGTGCTTTCCTCAATGTGTGTCCTATCCACTTCCATTGCTCCTTCCTGATTTCTTCCTCCACTGGGATCTGGTTTGTCCTCTCACACAGTAGGTTGTTTCTGATAGTGTCTGGCCAACGGATCCGAAGTATTTTGCGTAGACAACTGTTAATAAACACCTGTATTTTCTGGATGATGTCTTTCCTAGTTCTCCAGGTTTCCGCCCCATACAGTAGGACTGTCTTGACATTTGTATTGAGAATCCTGACCTTGGTGTTGGTTGACAGTTGCTTTGAGTTCCAGATGTTCCTCAGTTGTAAATATGCTGCTCTTGCTTTACCGATCCGCGCCTTCACATCTGTATCAGATCCACAAAACCGACTTATATATCCTTTTAATTGTACCAAAGCAACGACACGTTGACCAGTATGAACAGCCTAGAGTGAATTTCTGACTCCTTATTCGTCCTTCTTGCCTTGCCCTGCCCGCTGAGTTCAGAACACAAATCTCAGCTTCCTCTGTGTGAATCATATATTTCAGACGTACGCCATTTATATACAAGCAAGTCAGGCTGCATCATACTATAAAATAGGAAATAACAACTATACAAGATCAAGTCAAAATTGGCTGTGAGTGTGAGATAGATTGAGGGTAACTTATGATTGGTAAATCGAATAATAATGGCCAATAGGTCAAATAAAATCTTATATTAAGAGAAATATAAATATATATATAATCTAGTTACCTAGTAGTTTTACAATAAGAATATATATATAATAGTTCCTACAAAGTACCCATAATTTAATATTTTTCGGATACAACAGACACTACTCACAACATTGCTTGTAAGTAGTATGTTGTGAAATGTGACCTTGAAGTTGTTGGAAAGAATGAACAGTTTCGGCACGGCGTTGACAGAATATTTGGAGACCAAATGTTTAAATTGTTCAGACCAAAACATGCAAATGGATGATTAAAGGCTTTTTATAAATGTATATTGTAAACGCATTGTAACTTGTCAATGTAAATATAGATTCCATCTGCCTGTTGCGTTCTTTCACATTTCATGTCGCTGTGTAAAACTCGTACTTGGAAAAGGAGAAATAGTGATTAATATGACACCAAAATAAAAAGACAAAAACTGACAACTGACCTTTCAAAAATACGATTTTAAGCAAACGTACTCATTTATACATCAATTTTACTGACATTAAATGATTAATTACCGAATTTCACAACTAACGGTAAATACCAAAATGAAATTCACATTGAATTAATACATAGAATATTATACTGAAAAAATGTCGTATTTAAATAAAGTTTTATGTTAACCAATATATTGCCCTTCAAACAAAACTAATATTCAACTGGACAAATATCGTATTGAGTCGAACCATGATCTCGTGATTTGGATTGCATCCTAACATTTATTCTTTAACTGAGATTCCGTTACCACATATTTCGAAAGGAAAATCATCACTAGCATACTTAATCAAAGTTGTTCTTTTTTAAAATTTGACCGATATCAGCTTGAAAAGTTCAGTTTTTTGTTACCAATTAACCGCAGTCCATGTGGTGTAGTGAACAAGAACACGAGTGGGGAACAATCGACTGTATTTGAGCATAAAATTACAGAGCATCTCATTAAAATCTAAGAATCATGTAGTAAATGCTTAATTTGCAAAATGCCTATCAATTGTCTCAAGATGACTCAGACTTCATTGTTCTTGCATTTTCATACGAATTGCATCCTGTTTCCATTCTTTACTGCTTGATCCTCTTGTCTCTCTACTGCCAGACATTTTGTTCCTGACTGACGTCATATACTACTTACGTCGATATATGCAGCACACACCAAAGTAGTATGCTCGGTTATTGACAAACGAATCTGTCATCACATGAATATGTCTTACCAACAAGGTTTTTTATTGAAGAAGTCAATTATTCATAATTCTATAGTTGCATAAAATGTGTAATGTCAATTTCTAATCTGACATCACTTATATTATTTAGTTCAAATGACATAATATTTGGTTGTTAACTTCTCAAGCGTAACCATTATTAAGGAATATATTATCATATTTGTACAATTTCGAAATTCTCAAAAATTATTATCGAGAGGGACCTAACACACATGACACTGGTCACTACCCAGTGATCAATCATTTGTAAATACATCTTATTCCTACAGGAATTCACTCACGATACTGATAGCTCAGTGGTAACGTCTCTGACTGTGAAATTGCGTGACACGGAATCGAATCCGCCAGGTAGTACCAGTCCTATCAAGACTACTGGTACACCTTGCTGACGAGTGTCAACACTAAACCTAGGCCAAGCAGATCTTCCTATCGACTATCTCCAACTGCAAACTTATATTACCAAGATAAAGTAGTATACCATCCGATTGAAATGGCTGAGTACTTCATTTTTAGACCTTCCATTATCCCACAACTCAGAATGTACATATTTGTACTATTACTAAAACATCAAACAGAACTTGTAATTCACTTGATATTGTTTTACTTGAATCTTCCCATTGATGTTTTAGGACTGAAATTGATCAGTCTCTTATTGGCATATGTGCATACTGTGCGTATGCCCCGAAATTGCTTTAATTTACAAGCATTATAAGCAAAGATGGATAGTGGCTAGCAGTGGAATCCAGGACGCGCGTTTCGTCCTGCTTGGGACTCGTCAGCTGGATGTACCTGTATTTCAGAGTTGATGTTCACTCTGGGACTTGAACTCAGTACCGTTCGCTTCAAACGCCATCGCGTTATTCACTTAGTTACTGAATCCTGATAGTCACTTTCTTGTGCAATGGGGTGAAGTTTAATTCACTTGATATTGTTTTATTTGAACCTTCCCATTGATGTTTTAGGACTGAAATTGATTCCACTGCTAGCCACTATCCATCTTTGCTTATAAAACTTGTAATTGTTTATCAATCATTAAAATTCTTTATGATGATTATTAAAATTAACTGTTTTCTCGAACAATCAATACAGTCCTTTTTTAAATGAAAATATTACTTAGTAAGTTACCAAGTAAATAGTTTATATTATCCTTAAACCTAATACTTGAAATTAAACAGTTCATTTTATATCTAACATTATTAGCACTATAGAATTGTTTGTCTCATTATATACATATGTATCTGTTATTTGAATGACTTCTAAAACAAAGTGTTATAAATCTCGTTTACTTTCTCCAACGATTGATTTCTGATTTCTTTGTGGGATATACATCTTTTCATGTGCATATATATAAATATATGCCTATCTTTCATATTCATTTCTTTTCATACTTTTTCTATGAAATAATCATCTATAGTTGTTTATGTTGATGTAAAACACCTGGTATTGTTTTCCTATGAGACACTTTATTCCTTTGTTTATATATATACAAAATCTTTTCTTTTTTCATTCTATCACAGCACTTTCTAATTTCCTGATATGTAAGGAAAATCACTAACTGCTTTTCAAATGACATTTCATTTACGTGTACTTATCAACTGTTCATCTCAATAAGTAATATTATTCATTGTTGGCGTAGGTTAAAAGAAAGCTATAGGGTATCGAGTCGAAACATTGCATCAGTTCATGAAGTCATGAACAGTTGAATGGAACCAAGTAGAGAATTATCAGATTACGTTTTGCGCGAATATTTTAACGAATGGTTTGAAACTTTGGCTGATATAAGTCATTTACTGCTACACTGGTAAATTTACTTCTTATCTTCTCTTAGTTCCAGAATCATAAATGCGGCGAGACTATAATTTATGGATGAACCAATCAGGTATAAGATAACAGGTCTCGGATTTTGGCACGACATTCATTCATTTATTTGGTGAAATAGCGTTTTGGCATTATAGTTGATGTCAGTTCGTGATGAAAACCCTAAATCTAATTCCTAATCTTAACCATCAAATTTAAATCATAATCCTTATTCATTAAACTGTTTTATAATCCTCATTTTTTTCTAATTATTAGGTGGGCACTCTCAAAGTAACTCTAGCATCATTCAAAGGTTGTTCATAAATTATAGTCTCCCCATGAAATCTTCTTAAACTTTTCGATGTTTTTTTTCATTTTGACATGTAATTTTCTCTCTAATACTGTTCTTGGTATTTATTTCGATCATTCTGTTTTACTGTACTAATGTACTGTAGCAACATGAGATGACGTAATTATGTTTTAAATTTTATTATGCATATGACCAAGTAGCTTTTTCAGGAGTCTGAACAAAATAAATCTGTATTTTAATATGAATATTCAATGTTGTTTTTTTAAAAAATCATACTCCTTTTTTTAGGCTTTTGGTTTATTATATCATAAATTATTATAATAAATATTTTTACAAGATAATGAACCAAGGGAGTTAGTGACAATAATGATGTGAACTACACAATAATTTATAGTTTAGAACAACAATAATTTAATATTTAATAATTTATACTATCCTATTTTTGATATTTAAACTGAAATTTGATCAGTCTTGGTTAGATACTATGGGATGCAAGTAAATCTAGCGGACAAATCTTAGATAAGATGCAACACATGTTCTAGATTTCATTACGAATCGCATTCTATTTTATGTTAAAACATTAGAGTATAATAACATGTGTATTAGTATTCGTTGACCAGACACTATCAGAAACAACCAACTGTGGGAGAGAACAAGTCAGATCCCAAAGGAGGAAGAAATCAGGAAGAAGCGATGGAGGTGGATAGGACACACATTGAGGAAAGCACCGAACTGCGT